ACTATAGACTAATGGGATTTTAAGAAATTCAGTGTATTATTATTTCATTCCAGCTTTTGGTGGTTGGTTTTTTTCCTATTTTTGATGCTCAATTGTCCCAAATTTGGGCACTGGAAGACTTTTTCTTAAATTGAAGTGTAATTGACATAAAACATTATATTAGTTTCTGGTGTACCACGTAATGATTTGATATTTGTATCCACTGTAAAACTATCACCACAATAAATCTAGTTACCATATGTTACCATACATAGTTACAAATTTTCATGTGTGTGAAACTTTCAAATATGCATTATACAGTGGAACCTCTGTTCTTGAACTTGATTTGCTCCGAAGGCTGTTCGAAAACCGAATTATTTTTTCCCATTAGAAATAATGTAAATTGAATTAATCTGTTTCAGACCCCCCCCAAATGATTCTGTCTTAACCTTTCTTATATACACTACATGTCTAATGGACTGTTTAATTTGTAAATAAATACTTAAAAAAGGGACATGGTTGTTACAGTCCCATGGGACCCAGGAACACAAGTACTCCTGGCTTCCAAAGCCCCATACTCAAGGGATGTCCCCTGGGTTGCCACTACAAAAACTGGGGCATCAGGTGTAATACAACCTGGCTACCAGACGTGTGTAAAAGCTCCCCTGGAGATATTTGCATGGAAGCATTGCAGAGGCAGAGCACAAAAATGGCACCCACTAATGCCTCTGTCCCCTTGCACCCTTAAAGTAGAAGCTTAAGGTCATCCATCAACAGGATTGAGGAACTGTCACAGGCAGCCAGCTTGAGCTCTTGCTGATTTCCTGTCTTGTTTTCACTTGATTTTTGGCCTCTGAGGATTCTGCTCTCTTACCATCTTGGTGATATATCATAAGTTGATCCTTTGGAAAAGGATGTCTAATCATTCATATTTCAGGAAATGGAAACTTTGATGATTCACAAGTACAGTAGTAGTAGTTATTGGTCTTCGAAGGCCGTCCTATCTCAGAACTTTTATAGTTTTTTTATTTATACAGGACTTAGCCATTCTTTAAGGTTCGACTCAAATCATGCCTCCCTCTATCCTTGATTACCTGAGTCAACACTGATCTCTTCTATTAGAACTGTACCATTGTTTGGCCCTATTGACCAACAGATACTTGCTGCTTCTAACCAATTCTTTTTTTAAAATTTTTTTTTATTCTCACCCAAGGATATTTTCCCCATTGCTTTTCAGAGAGAGTGGAAGGGGGAGAGAGAGAGAGAAACATCGATGTGAGAGAGACACATCAGTTGGTTGCCTCCTGCCCACACGCTGACCAGGGCCAAGGATTGAGCCTGCAACCAAGGTACATGCCCTTGGCTGGTATCGAACCCGGGACCTTTCAGTCTGCCGGCCAACTCTCCAACCCTGCGCCAGACTGGCTAGGGCTCTAACCAATTCTTTCTGGTTAGGTATATACACATATTTAAGCCCTGCTTAATTTATCTCCATTTCTGAATCTCCAATAAATTGATTGATTTAAAAATGTATGCTTTATAGTAGCAATTTCTTCATGGTCATCGTTCAGACTTGTTACTTTAAGCTAGTTAATTATAACCTTTAGTACTTCCTTTTCAGGTATATGAAATAGTCTCTCATAGATGGATTCTGATTACTTAGAAGTTAAACTGAGCTTCTGGTATTATCTCATTGTGTGTTGTATACATGTACACACATACACACTCACACATTTACCTACATGGTCCATTAACATTTTCATATTGTTTCTTTGGGGGGGGGCAGTAACAGATCTGGTTTGAGGAAGTTGTTTATACTTTTTCTCTATAAAAGTAGCATAACTACATGTCTAGTATTAAACAGCAATAAAAGGCATAGCTAATTTATTGAATATTAGGAAATATTTTTTAAAACCTATAATTTCATTGTTATATCATTTTGGTAATATTTGTTTAGTTATGAGTTTTATGATACTGCTTTTTTCATTTAACATTAGTCCTAACCATTTTCTGGTGTCAACTCTGGTTTTTTTATTTAAATCAAAGTAATAAAAATAGTTTGTAAATTCAAGCAGCACAAGGAAGCCAAATGAAATATGTGTCTCTCCCCTCACCCATTACTAGGACCTTCTCCCCTTAGATTATTACTGCAGTGTATAATGTGTATAAGTGTATGTGTGTATCTATAAGACATTTAGCATATCTTTACACAGATAAGTTCTTGCTCTACATACTGTTACATACCTCTTTTTTTCACTTAATAATACTTCCTTCACACCTTTGCATATTGATAAATATACAGTTACTCCATTATCCCCTTCCTAGCTACTCCTTTATTAATGACTGATTCCATTGAATGAATATAGTTGTGGTTATTATACTTTGATCTGCATCTTAGAAAGTTTCTGAACTATTCAGTATTAATTTTGCTACATTATAAATGCCATATTTAATTATATTTTGTTAAATAATTCTTAATGTTTGTAAATTATATGTTTCCCACCTGATCTCAAAGGAGAAAAGTACTGTAACTTAAATTTGTTTTAAACTATCATAGAAACATAATAGGCATCAGCAAATACAGGCATACCTCACTTTTGTGCTTCACTTTATTGCACTTCACAGGTACTGCATTTTTTACAAATTGATGGTAAGACCCTCCACCAACAAAAAGATTACAACTTGCTGAAGGCTAAGATGCTTAGCATTTTTTAGCAATAAAGTGTTTTTTAACTAAGGTAGTTACCTTCTTTACACATCATATATTGCACACTTAATAGGCTATAGCATAAGGTAAATAAAACTTTTATACGCACTGAGAAACCAAAACATTTATGTGACTCACTTTATTGTGGTATTTGCTTTATTGCGGTGGTCTGGAACCAAACCCACAATATATCCAAGGTACGCCTGTACATATTCGATTACTTTGCAGGCAGGTGTGGAGTCGGGTTTTTTGTGTGAGTGTGTGTGCATTCAAGTTCTCCTTTTTACAAGTTACTGTCTTATTTTACCAATTCAGGTGAGTGGCCACAATTTCCACTCTTGGGTCATTTTCTGAAAGAAATGTAAAAGAAGCATAAGTTAGTTCCAGAGTTTGCAACTAGGTTGGAAATATAAGAAACACACAAAATCATGAAATAATAATGTAAGGCCAAGTTTTGTCATGGCCCCATCATTATATTAGGTTGAACCATATGAAACTGCTAATATTCAGCCATATTGATCTACAAAAAAGATAATTTCATATGTGCGTTTTTTTCATTCTCACCAAGGATATGTTTTTATTGATTTTTAAGAGAGAAACATCAATGAGAGAGAAATGTTGATTGGTTGCTTCCCGTATGCACCCTGACTCTGGATCAAACCCCCTGACTGGAATCAAATCCGCAGTCTTTTGGTATATAAGGACAGTGCTCCAACCAACTGAGCCACCCAGCTGGGGGAAGATAATTTTATATGATTCAGCTGAATGTACTTAGGATTCTAAGAAGAAGAGAGAAACATGAGCTTTTTTAATAGATGGAGAAGGTATAAGAGAAGGCCTAGAGTCTGGAAGTAGCATGACACCTATAGAAGATTATGAGGAAGTAATTTTAAGTTATGTGGGTAACTTTGGCCTTTAAGCTGATGACACCTATAGAAGATTATGAGGAAGTAATTTTAAGTTATGTGGGTAACTTTGGCCTTTAAGCTGATTATGAAGTGTGGTAGAAGACATAGAAAGAAAATGCTTGAATATCTTGGGACTAAATGCCAAATTGGAGGTATTTTAAACTTTTTTTTCTCTCTAACTTTTATCCTTTATGCCACTGATCCTCAAACTTTAGTGTGCATCAAAACAACCTGGAGGGCTTGCTAAAAAACAGATTTCTCAGCCTCACTTCCAAAGTTTCTGATTCATATGTCTGGGTGGGGCGCAATAATTTAACATATTCCCAGGTGATAGTGATGCTTAATCCTCTAGACTGGGAACTGTACTTTTTTTTAGTTGTTGTTTTTTTTTTAATTGATTTTAGAGAGAGACAGACATCAATTTGCTATTGCACCCATTCATGCATTGATTTGTTAACTGTTGTGTGTGCCCTGATGAAGGATCGAACCCACAACCCTGGCATATTGGGACAATGCTCTAACAAACTGAGCTACCCAGCCAGGGTTGGGGACTGTACTTTTGAGAATGATTGTTTTAGGCTATATGAGAGTTACTAGACATTTAAGCATGAAAAGCACTCCATGCAATTGCTATTATAATATTATGTAGGATTGTGCAGAGTAGATTGGAAGGAATGAGGATAGCATGCCCACTTTATGAAACCATTATATAAATTATAACTCATATAATTAATTACACAATTGAAGCCATCCCAAATTATCCTACACAGTGTTATCCACTGTATTCACTTCTGTCAGCTCTGTTACCTGACCTGACTCATTTTATTTACTCTGTGCCCATGTTGGATAGTGAGGAGCCTCTCCTGTCTCAATTTAGTCTTTTGTTTTCCTGCCCTTTTTTTCTCTTTTCCCAAGCTTTAAGGACCATGTTATGAGGTTGTCAGAGCCATAGTTTTTTAAGCATTTTATTCACGTTCATTATTTTGTTTCTATTTTGGCAGTTTCTCCAAATAGAAGAAAACTTTTTATATTCTTTTTATTTCAGGACAGGAAACAGAAGCCCAAGATCATAATCCAGTTAAAAATATTGCTAAATTCACAACAGATGGAACCCAGACCATCAAATTGGAAGAACCATATGACTATGGTGACAGATTAGAGAGGCAAGCACCAGTTACCTTCATGAAAATTCCCACTGATGAAAGAAATTTCAGTTTGAAGTCAGTTTTTTCACAAGAAGGTGATCCTACAGAAGAGTATCTTAGTAAATATGATATATATGGAGATCATTTTGAAAAGCATTCAAACCTGATTATACAGTTTGATACTCTGTCAGATAATAAGACATCTGTATATGACGAAAGCAGGGCAATCTTCAATCACGTCTCATATGGTATTGTACATAGGAAAATTTACCCTGGAGAGAAGCCTTACAAATGTAATGTGTGTGGGAAAAAGTTTAGGAAATACCCATCCTTCGTGAAACACCAAAGCACCCATACCAAAGAGAAATCTTATGAATGTGAAGAGTGCGGGAAAGAGTTTCGACACCTCTCATCCCTTATTGCACATCAGAGAATGCATACTGGAGAAAAACCTTATGAATGCCACCAATGTGGGAAAGCCTTCAGCCAGCGAGCACACCTTACTATACATCAGAGAATTCATACCGGAGAGAAACCGTATAAATGTGATGACTGTGGGAAAGACTTTAGTCAGCGTGCACACCTTACTATACATCAAAGGACACATACAGGAGAGAAACCATATAAATGCTTAGAATGCGGTAAAACCTTCAGCCACAGTTCATCACTGATCAATCATCAGAGAGTTCATACTGGAGAAAAGCCTTATATATGCAACGAATGTGGGAAAACGTTCAGTCAAAGTACGCACCTTCTTCAACATCAAAAAATACATACTGGAAAGAAACCATATAAATGCAATGAGTGTTGGAAAGTATTTAGTCAGAGTACTTACCTTATTCGACATCAGAGAATTCATTCTGGAGAGAAGTGTTATAAATGTAATGAATGTGGAAAAGCCTTTGCTCATTCCTCAACTCTTATTCAACATCAAACTACTCACACTGGAGAGAAATCCTATGTATGCAAAATATGTGGGAAAGCCTTCAGCCAGAGTGCAAACCTTACTCAACATCACAGAACACATACTGGAGAGAAACCATATAAATGCACAGTGTGTGGGAAAGCCTTCAGCCAGAGTGTACACCTTACTCAACATCAGAGGATTCATAACGGAGAAAAACCCTTTAAATGCAACATATGTGGGAAAGCATATAGACAGGGTGCAAATCTTACTCAGCATCAAAGGATTCATACCGGAGAGAAGCCCTATAAATGTAACGAATGTGGGAAAGCTTTTATTTATTCCTCATCACTTAATCAACATCACAGAACTCATACTGGAGAAAGACCTTATAAATGTAATGAATGTGATAAAGACTTCAGCCAGAGAACATGCCTTATTCAACACCAGAGAATTCACACAGGAGAGAAGCCCTATGCATGCCGTATATGTGGTAAAACCTTCACTCAGAGTACAAACCTTATTCAGCATCAGCGTGTTCATACAGGTGCCAAACATCGTAATTAATGGACATGGAGACTTTAAGTGTTACAACTTAATCATTTACATTTTATTTTGTACTCTGTGTTAACACATTCAAAAGAAGTGCAATATACATTAGATACCACTGAGCAGAAGTATCAGAATTAGTAATGTGGATATAACCTATTTAAATTTAATGTTAAATTTGAGAAGAAAACTTCATTCACTTCTTAACCTCTATTGATTTATTCCAGAAAGAAACCCTGTGAAAGTAAGAGTATTCAGAAATCTGTAACTCACCGACTCTTACTGTATTTCAAGTACTTCTCAGTGAGGCCTCGTGAATGTAACTTGTGAAAACTTCCATCAAGTAGAGATTTCACACAGGAGAGTAATCCTGGGATAATAGGAAAGCTGCTTTCAGGCCTTTAGTTCTTCCCAGCTTTGAAGCCTTAAATATGTAAAGGGTTCCCCTCTCCCTTTTTACTTCCCTTTTCCTATTATGCCATAACTGCCATGTTTTGGGGGAAATTTTTGAAAGTATCTTAAAGATTTCTATGTGACCACTGTTTAATTATACTTTCCTTAAATACTGAAATAGTAAAGGAAGGGAACCTTAATGAAAGGTGATAGGATAGAGAAATTAATGTGTATATAACCCTTAGACGTGTACAAATTTAGTTAAACAGACAACAAACACCCAAGCTTAAATCTTTAAAACAGCCTTAATTTCACTAAGTTTTGACATCTGTCATCCTGTAGGGAAAAATAAGAATACAGTTTCCATTATTTTCACCTGCCTCCTAAGTTTATAATTTAAGGTTCCCGTGTGACTATTGTACTGTAGAAAGTGGATTTCTTCCATTGGAACATATTTTTTGAGTGTCGACTGTGCTCAGGGCCCAAATTTCTTAATTGGATCCTTTCAGGGCTTCCTGTAGTGCTTTGCTGCAAATCACAGCTGAATTTAGCAACAGTAAGGGCATGGGCGTGTCATGGGATGAGCATAAGAAACCTAAAATGGATTGCAAAAGCAGACCCCATATCCTAAGGCAAGGAAGTAATACAATCTATTTAAATAATGTGAGAAAAAATAGGTAATGGAAAATGGATATGAGTTCAGTGCAGAAGGTGGGGTCGGGGAAAAAAATCAAGGTGAAGACAGGAAAGCGAATACATAGGTAACTTATAACATGAAATGTTACTGAACTTGGTTTACCTAAGAAAACAAAGAGTAACTGGTTGAATAAAAAAGCAAAACTCATCCTGTTTGTAAGAAGAAACGAAAAATGAAATGATTGATTTTGAAGGAGTATTTGGGATTGGTTTTCCTTCATATAAATAAGTATACTCTTAAAATATGAAGAAAAAAATTTCATTGGAAAAAGCATTGATGCAGTAATCATTAAATAATAATAACTGTCAGAGTCCTAAGCAACATAAAAGGAAAAGTGGCAGAAATGCAAATAGCAGTCGGTAAAGTACTGCTGTCCTTAATATCTGTAGCGTTCCACTGTTGGAACATAAGACCATACTCTCAGCTGAGATTCATCTTGCTCTTGTTTCTTCAGTGCCTTGCATGTAGCAGGTGGTCAATATATATGTTAGTTGAATTAATGAATAAATAAGTAGATAAGTTGAGTAATAGGTAGACTTAACTGATACAGAGTGAAATTTGTAGAATTGTGAACACATGAAAAGAAATATTTAACAAATACTGGTCATTGATTGGTTAATTAACTTAGAAATGAAGAAATCCCCAGATATTAGCAATGGGGATATTCCTGAGAAATCATGGGACATCTTTGCACAGGAAATTTTCCTGAGCTAGATGAGGGGAAATTGATATAAATTCTGGCACTGAAAATATCAAATTAAACGTGTTGACCCATGTGGCTTCATTTGGACATGACTTTATATAATATAAACATCCTACAAGCAGGTGCAGAAGGAAAGACATCTTCAGGGCTTTCTTGTTGAGTGTTTTCAAGAAGTTACTCTCCTTGTCCTCACATTCATTAACCTTGATGTCATGGAATTGCCCTTCACAAATTTCAAATTATCTCCAGGTGCATAATACTCAAATTATGCTTATGCCACGGTTATTAGGTTAAAAATAACCATTGTACTTCAGATGCAATTTTTATAATGTCACTTCATACCTTACACAACATTTTTTTCTCCTGGAATGAATGTGTAGAGTATTATAGTCCATAGCATCTTTCTTTGCATTAATTTGTATTTCCTGCTTTTATGTGTTTTATGTAAATAGTGCATTTATAAGGTCTTCCATTGATACACTGAAGCAATTGATGCCCTGATAAAATAATAGAATAACAATAGTGGAGAATCCTAGATATTTGTGTATTTTTCCCACTTTTACAGTTGTCTGGCTTAAATATAATTCAGGTTTTTTATTTTCCACAATTTTTTATTACGAATGTGTTCAAATATACAGAAAATTAAAGAATAACAAACTACATCTGCCACTTAGATTTAAAAAATCACATTTTGCCATATGTTTCTGAACAACTGGAAAGTAACTTAAAGACATGACATTTCACCCCTATGCATGCATCTCATAAAAAATGACAGTCTTTTTTCATAATCACAATACCCTTACATATCTCAAAAAATGAATAGTATGCCCAGCCAGCGTGGCTCAGCTGTTTAGCATTGACCTATGGTCCAGGGGATCACAGTTCGATTCCTGGTCAGGGCACATGCCCGGGTTGCAGGCTCCATCCCCAGGCAGGGGTGTGCAGGAGGCAGCAATTAATGACTCATCATTGATGTTTCTCTCCCTCTTTCTGAAATCAATAAAGACTTTTTTTAAATAGTAATTCCCTAATATCTAATGCTTAACCCATGTTTAAATTTTCCCTGTTAAAACAGTCATGTCACACACTACATTTGATTGCAATGTTTGTTTCATCTAAAATAGCCTCTCAACCTTGGTTTTTTTCCAGGATTTTTTTTTTAATGGAGCAAATCAGTTGTAGAATCTCACGTTCAGTATTTAACTGCTGTTTACAACCAGTTTGTTTATCAAATCAGTAAACAGGTCAGTGGTTTGTTTACCTTGTTGCTGTGGTTTCTGTAAATTAGCAATCAGGGCCAAAGGCTTGATGTATTCAGGCTAACCATTTTTAACATTAACACTTCACAGATGTATGTCATATTACATCATATCAAAAGTTTTATATAGTCTTAAATAGTCTTAGAAGACATATTAAAAGTCTTACAGTCTTAAATATCTGGTTGACTATCAGTGATGTAAAGTTTCATCCCTCAGTTGAGGTAACCACTGTATGTTCCCAATGTAAAGGTCATGTTTTTTCTGTTGCAGTCAATCTGTGGACTGAGACCTTGACAGTATATGGATAGCCTTTGTACCCACAGACTTTCACCTGGTGGTTTTGGTATCCAATAATGATTATCCTTGCCTGAATCCATTATTTCAGCAAGATTTGCAAAATGGTGATTTTCTATTTCTGCATTTACTGACATTCTTCTATAAGGAAGAGCTTCCCTTTGTCAGCTGGAATACACTGAGGCAGGGTCATGCTCAACTCTTTTCCTTTAATTACAAGTTGCCAGAATAAGGAGTTGGCAGTGATGACAAATGATTCGATGTGTTACGATAACTCATGATCATTGTTTCTGATGCTCACATCCCAAATTTGGCCAGTTGGAACCCTTCAGGTAGCTCTTACATCCATCCTTTGACATTCCCTCTCCAGTCCTTGGATTGCGTTTTGACAGAAGATCTCTCAGGTTCACCTTGCACTTTCAATGCCCCAGATAGCCATTTCTCCAGGGATTCCTGGCTCTCTTTCATAGACATCTGTTTAGAAACCAAGGGCTGGGTATTAGGCATGCTCATTACTACTGGGGTGTGACTTAGTTTTCTTAAAGACAACTCCACTTGTCTAATACCTAATTATGTAATGAGAGAGAGAACATACTGGGCCAAACTAGGAGCAAACAGCTAAGTATTATTAAATATACAACTAAGTTGTAGAGAATGGAAATTATGTGTACTAGGAAGCAGCAAACAACCACAAGAGGTCTATGCAGAGGCCATTAGGAAATTTTACAGAAGGAAGATTGTCAGTTAATCTGGCAAACAGATTAAACAGAGCAGTTAAGAGCAACAAAATGACACCTACTATGTTGTGTTTTAACTATTACATGTCTTGATTACTGTTACAAGCTACACTTCTTTCCCATCACGTTCCTTAAGACAGGTTTCTGATCTAAATTTTAATTCTGAGCATCTGTTTTATGCAAATCTAAGTACTTGGGGGTTTTTTGCTAAACTTTTACTTGGTCTTTAAAACTTTAAGGCTATTAGATTTTATTTTTTGACTGTATCTTCTGGTACCAATTCACTTGCATATGTGCCTGCAGATGTACTCTTAGTCTATTTCTGTTAATCTCCTCGTGGCTCGCTCACTGTGTTAACCCCTTAGAGCACTAGAGCCATTAAAAATGGCAAGCTTGTACACTGTAGTCATATGTATAAATATGTGTGTAAGCTTATAAGCAACGTTGAGTCCTCTGTAGGCAGGGAAAGTGATGCCCTTATGCTGAAGTGCCTGAGGTCAGATATAGATACAGATACAGATACAGATACAGATACAGATACAGATACAGATACAGATACAGATACAGATACAGATACAGGTAGATACACATTTACGGTGACAGAATAAGAGTTGGAATCCATTGCTCCAGCACTTTGGTTGAGTTATAACTGAAATGCTAAATGAAAATTCAGAGCACAAAATGTATGTCTCTCTAATTTTGTAAAATTATTTTGATGAGATTAGATCATTGGAAGTTTGTCTACCCTCCCATAGTTTCTTAAATTCAAATCTTTAAATGAAAATAGCCCAACAAAGGATGCAATTTGGGTCTTCCACCCAGCTCTTTCCCAAGTTTCAGGACCATAGTCAATGGTCACCTGGAGCTATCTCACAAATACCTTAAAGTGGTTTAATCTAAAATGAATGTTTTCATTCCCAAAGCTCTTTTTAATTCACCATAACTGACAGGGAGGCAGAAGCCACTCTCTTCACCAATAATTATTTTAGTCCTGTTGGTTTTACCTCCCATATATTCCAGTTCACTCTTCTCTAGCCCCACTGCCACTATTTCATTTCTGGCTTTTAATAAGGACATGCCTAGAGAAAGAGGAACAGAGGGAGAGAGAGAGAGAGAGAGACATGGATGTGAGAGAGAAACATTGGTTGCCTCCTGTACATGCCCCAACTGAGGATCGAACCCGCAACCCAGGTATGTGCCCTGAAAAGGAATTGAACCTACAACCTTTTGGTGGACAGGACAGCACCCAACCAACTGAGCCACTCTGGCCGGGCTTCATTTCTGGCTTTTAATCAGCTCTTGGTTAGACTGTTTTGCAGACAGGTAAGTGTTCACCCTGCCCCTGATCTCACCCCTTTCAATGTATCTTGCATGTTTTTGCCAAAATAACCTGAGACCATCTAAGACCACCACATACAGCTGTACAGGTTGAACAGTACATTTGACCACATCACAGTTTGCTTAAACCCTTCGTATCTTCTCATTGTTAACAGCAGTGGATCTCACTCTTAGCTGCACATTAGAATAACCTGGGGAGCTTTTAAAGGTACCAATGCCAAGGCCCTGCCTCTAGGAATACTGAATTAATTTATTTGGGATGGGGCCTGGATATCAGTGTTTCTTCAACTCCCCATGTGATTCTAATGCTCTAAAGTGGTGTAAGGCAGAAGTAGGGAAACCAGTCAGGAAGCAACCTCAGCGATTTCGAGAAACAGTGCTGGTTGAAAAGTGACCCAACGGGAGCTATATAGTGAAGGTAGCATCTATAGGACGTGCTAAGGGACTGGACTGGAATGTGAGACGGGAACTAAGGCTGGAGGATGTGTCCCTACAAGGGAGAGACTCGTTTCTGTATCTCCTATACCAAGCACTGTGCCCTCGATAAGTGTGTGATTAATGCCTCTCTTCAGGAACTTCTGCAAAATCATCAAGATTGTCCTCTCAGCCCTGGCTGCGTGCCTCAGTGGTTAAAGCATCGGCCAATGCACCAAAGGGTCTTGGATTCGATTCCCATCTGTCCAGGGCACGTACCTGGGTTGCAGATTCGATCCCCAGCCCCTGTCGAGGCACATGCTGGAGGGAACCAATCAATGTGTGTCTCCCAATGGATGTTTCTTTCTTCCCCCACCCCCTACACCCCTGCTTCCTCTCTCTCCAAGGATCAGCAGGAAAAATACCCTTGGGTGAGGTTTAACAAAAAAATATATATAATAGAAAAGATTGTACTCTCAGAAAAAAATTATTTTACATGTCTGTCCCAAACTGTGAAGGGTTTGGGATCTTACTGGACTTAATAAACTGGCCCACAGTTACTTCATGGATGCTGACAGAAGACCTAAAACTCCTGGGTATTAGACAAAGAACTTTACTACTCATGGCAAAAGCAGTAGCCAGACTTCATTTAAGCTGATTACTCATGCCTACCCCACGCCCACCCCCGAACCCCCCACCAGGCGGGTGACAGGTGGGCCCAGATGGATTCCAGCACAGGGCTGCATTACAGGAAAACACTGAGCTTGGGGAACCATTACGCTCTTTAAGATCTTGCATTCTTGGCATACCCAGCAGGGGCGTGTAGGGATGCTCAGGGCCCATGATATGTTGCCTTCCCAAAGAGCCCTTTCTAGTGCAGACTTCCCCCTTGGAGAATTCAGGGAACACTCTGGCTTGTAAATAGAGAAGATAGAAAGCAAAGTGAAGTTACCTGTCTCAAGCATACAGAGTAGATGTTTTCCTGAAGAAAAATCTTAGGTCGTACCAAATCAGAGGTATACTCAGAGGTTAAGAAGTAATGACCTCACTCCACTGTACATTAAAAGCTACACCAGGCATCAGCAGACGAGTGGATAAAAAAGCTGTGGGACATTCACACCATGGAATACTACGCAGCTGCAAAGAAGAAGGATCTCGTGCCCTTTGGGACATTATGGATGGACCTGGAGAGTATTATGCTAAGTGAAAGAAGCCAGGCAGAGAAAGACAAACATCACATCATCTCACTTATATGTGGAATCTAAAGGACTTAATAAACTGATGAACAGAAATGATTCAGTGACATAGAAGCATAGATCAGGCTGAAGAATCTCAGAGGGAAGGTGGAATGGGTGGGGTGGGAAGAGATTAACCAGAGAATTTATATGCACATATGCATGACCCAAGGACACAAACAATGGTGTGGTGAGCGACTGGGGAGGAGGGTGGAAGGGGTCAATGGGAGAAAAGGGGACATCTGTAATATTTTGAAC